GTGTGTGTGTGTGTGTGTGTGTGTGTGTGTGTGTGTGTGTGTGTGTGTGTGTGTGTGTGTGTGTGTGTGTGTGTGTGTGCGAGCGTTTGTTTATAAGCCCGCGCATGAAGTTGAACAAGGCAGGATGATGTTTACACACATCTAGCAGGATCGAGTTTCGAACAACGTCGATTAGATCCTGAATGCGGGCGCTATAGATCCGAAATTCCCCGTAAAAGATACGCAGCCTATCGTCGCAAACGAGATGTCAGAGTGCGAACGTGCATCCTAAAGCGTATAAAACCATTCTTTTCAGGACCACGTATCACAGTCTCCTAGATAATTGTAGGTCATTTTATAGAATGTCGTATGTCAAAAGCGAACGTGCATCTTTAAGGGTAGAACCATTAAAGCCCTAGGTAGAGGAACACGTATTATTGTCTTCTACATAAGTGTAGGTCATTGTATAGAATGTCGTATGTCAGAGGCGAACGTGAACCTTAAAGTGTATAGAACCATTTTTCAGGCCGCAGGTGTAGGAACACGTATCATTGTCTCCTACGTACATAATTGTATGTCATTGTGTATAGAATGCCATATTGGCCAGACTCAGGCTGGAGTCTGTGCGACGAGCGAATCAGTATTCACGATGAGAAAGCTTTCTCCACATCGTGACACTGTGTCTGATCCAGATTTATTAACGCAGCAGTATAGCCAGGAGTTCTCACCGACTGGCTCTCCATTCTCTTGAAAACGCACCGCGGTCTGAGATTTACGCGAAAATACACGAGGAGGAAGAGTAAGACGAACGAAGAAAGAGTCGCATATATGTCAATGTTTAGTGGAGTTCCCTGGTTGCTTACATCGAGTAGATTCACTAGACATAGACTTTAGCAAAATGCGCACAGATCCGCATGTAAATAACCCTAATAATAAGCCCACAATAAAACTTAATGAAAATAAGTTACACTCACCTCCGCTAATCTATGGTCGTTTACTAGGAGCACCCCCCACTCCACCAAGAATTGACTCACGTTTGCTGTGTGTTCGACATGACATATATTCCGCTGTGTGTCCACGCTTTATCAACTGAAAGAAATAATATTTTAGTGAAATCATACTTTTTATAGGGAGCCTTCATTCGGGCCTTTGCTTTCACATTATTATGGTGTAGCAATTTCGGTGTAGCATAGCGGAAGATATTTGTTTGTTCATGTCATGTATCTGCCAAATAAAATAATAATTTGTGGAAATTACACTTTTGAAATGGAGTGAAAATGCCTCTCGCAGTGGACTAGCATAACAAATAAATCCCGGTCTCTCTCTTTAGTATAATTGTAGGGTGCCATGTTTTCATTATTAACGTAAAACAATTAGTATTTATATCAGCCAATAGGTGGCAAAGATGGCACCCTACGTGACATACGCAGCACGATGTCTATCCTTTACCGAATGTACTTTATTGTAATTATACTTTAGGTTTAGAGATAGTACACCAACCCGTGTCGTTAATAGTCATAGTGTGCCTAGTCGTACCAAATTTCGGCGTTGTATATCGAAAGACCTGGGCTCGCACATACCATATATCTGCCAAATAAAACAATATTTTTCGTAACTTATTTTTCGTACATTTAAAATGGAGAACAAATACTCGTCACCGTAGGTCAACATGAGAATGGCCCTTGATGTCTCTCTGCAATAAGAGTAGAGTGCCTAGTTTTCCTAGCTAACTTTAGACGAATAATATTTAAATCAGCCAATAGGTGGCGATGTATCCTAGACGACATATGCAGTTGTATGAATAGAAATAATATACTAGTTATTGTCTCTATATATTTCTATAATTGTATAATCAAACTTTTATTAGATGAAGGGAATCATAATTTATTGACATTATACTTGTAACGACTACAATTAGGAAGCACATAGCCATCTGTCACATTAATCAACACAAGGTGCGTAATTGTACCAAATTTCGATGTGACGTAACGAGAGACCTGAGTTTGTGCGTGCCCAATATCTGCCAATTAAAACAATATTAAACATGGATATCCGCCAACAGGCGGCGATTTTTTCTACATGTGCAGCTGTATGTGCTGTCTTTGTAAAATGAATGAAATAATGTTTTGTTAAAACTGCACTATTAATTTAGATTAATAGAGTTTGCATACCAACCAACTACTTTAATGATGTCCGTAGTCGTACTAAATATGACTGTAACGTAACGCTAGACCAGTGTTCACGCATGCCAAGTGTCTGACAAATAAACTTCGAAACTATACATTCAAAATTTATATTCGATTAGGAAATTTCCTACTTTTCATAAATTATACACAACACGCGCTTTGTATATATATAGATAAATATATTCGTTCAACGCGCACTGGACGCACGTTGCCGTAATATCCGCGTTAGATCAACGTCCGAAAACTTAATCTACATCTGCTTTGTTTTTTGTTTCAGATTAACCATGATGATTAAGTGCGTATTGCTAATAGTCGCGTGCCAGGTTGTGCTCGGAACGACGATCGGCTGCAAGCAAGTGTGCATGTGGGGTTTGCCGAGCGAGAGTTGCAACTGTAGATTTCAATTCTTCAATAAGAGGAACGATGCGAACAGTCTCCCACACCATCGTGACGATGAGGGCGAGCTGGCGATGACACTGAACAGGTTATTATTATTATTATTATTATTATTATTATTATTATTATTATT